GATGATGAAAAACACGATGACAAAAAACAAAAAGAACACCACGTGGACATCACCACCAGGATTTTGTCTGCTAACAATGGCTCAGACGAATTGCTGCTGGAAGGAGACATGATGATTCCCAAAACCAGAAATGCCATGAAGTGCTTATACAACAGCTGCCTGTGGAGAAAATCCTCCAAAGGCTTGGTGGTGGTCCCCTACGTCATAGGCAATGAGTATGCCGGCTATGAAAAGCAGACGATCCAGGGCGCCATGATGGCCTTTGCTGCCCACACCTGTATTCGCTTTGTCCCTCGTACCAATGAGAAAGACTTCATCATGATTCATAGCAAAACCGGATGTTACTCTGAACTGGGCAGAATAGGAGGAATGCAGGAACTTTCACTCAACAAAGGGGGCTGTGTCTATGGTGGAATCGCCCAGCATGAGCTGAACCACGCTCTGGGCTTCCAGCACGAGCAGACCAGGAGCGACCGTGACAGCCACATCAGGATCAACTGGCAGAACATCATACCGGCAACTGCCTACAACTTCTTCAAACATGACACCAACAACCTGAACACACCTTATGACTACGGCTCCATCATGCACTATGGAAGAGATGCCTTCTCCATTGCCTACGGAAGGGACAGCATGACCCCCATCCCCAACCCCAATGCCCAGATTGGCCAGAGGAATGGATTGTCTTACTGGGACATCAAAAGAATCAACATACTCTACAAGTGCTAACTACAGTGTTGATGCTGAATACAAAATGCTGTTTTAAATGTTGAGGTGGCAGAATATATCACCTCACAAGCTTAAACTATATTCAATAAAGATGCTGCAAAATTATATTTGTCTCATTATTCTTCTGTGTCTGTGTTCAGTAAACACTGTACCCCTACAGCAAGACAATGAACCTGTTTCAAAGTTAGGCAAAATATCCATTGTGTTAACATAGCACAGAGCAAACTCAACCTTCTGCAACTGAAAGTCTGTGAAAATCTTGTTTCGAGAATTGTTCTCAAAAGGTTAGCTTTTCAATATTTCAAACTGCTGTTTTTCAGTGACACCATGAATCAGAGACATCAGTTTGGCTTTATACTCAAAACGAGCTTCTTCCATCTTCTCAGAGTTGGATTTTGAGTGTTTATATAAATACTTATTTGTATTTCTATTCCTAAATACAGATCACGGCCATATTATCCACAATACTCCTGTTCAGCAGATGTAACTAATAACTAAATGTCCATGATAATCTTTTTTCCTTTTCTTTGTTTGTTTGTTTGTCTATAACTTTAGCAAAATAATTCATGATCCAGTGGACAAGTTCCAATTAAACATTTAGAAAGTAGTTATTGGATGGTCATTTACAACTGATTAACTTTTGGAGGCAATAGCTGAAGAACGATGAAAATAGAACATAGATAATAGAAAAAATAACAAAAAATGACTCTATTTCAAACACTAACAGATCTTGTCAACATAAACTGACCTTAACATAAACTCTGGCATGAAAAGTGACAGTCTGATTCTAAAGTTAAATGGTACAACAATTTTTCTGAATATCTTCAGTTTTCTGGTAAATCTCACCAAACACTTTAAGAACTGAAACAAGGATCCAGAAATAAGTTGGACTGGTTTCTATGTCTGAGCAGCTTTGTGTTGAAACACATTTCTCAGGATGGCACAAAAGCTATTATATTTTCTATCTGCATGATGAAACAGGTGTTCAGAGCCTATAGCTCGATGGGGCTGTGATGTGAGAGTGGGGAGGTGGTTTCATGTCCTTCTATACCATACCATACCACTTTATTTATAAAGCATTTAAAACAGCTACAAAGCCAATCAAAGTGCTGTACATACAAAACAACAGGTAACACACAAAGCAAAATACAAAATGAGGTAAATCAGAATATAGACAAAAAACGATGCAGATAATGAAGACAAACCAGTGTGGAGCATACAGGATCAAAACACAGATCATCTTGTGTTGAAAGCTATTGAATAGTAGTGAGTTTTTAAACGGGACTTGAAAACCGAGAGGGAGGGGGCCAGTCTGACAAGCAGAGGTAACTCGTTCCAGAGTCTTGGTCCTGCTACAGAGAAGGCCCTGTCACCTCTGCGCTTAAGACGAGTTCCTGGAACTGTGAGGAGCAACTGGTCCGCTGACCTCAGGGAACGTGGTGGGACATACGGTTGTAGCAGATCAGAGAGATAGGGAGGGGCGACACTGTTCAGTGATTTGTAGACATACATGAGTATTTTGAACTGGATTCGAAGGTGAACCGGTAACCAGTGCATTGAGGCCAAAACTGGTGTAATGTGCTCTCTTTTGCCTGTACTGGTTAAAAATCGGGCTGCTGCATTCTGGACCAGTTGTAGTCGTGCAATGGAGGTTTGACTGATACCAAACAGGAGCAAATTGCAGTAATCAAGCCTAGATGTAATGAATGCATGTATTACTGTCTCCAGGTTATTTTTGGACAATATGGGCTTCAGTTTAGACAACCGCCTCAGTTGGAAGAAGCATGATTTAACAATCATGTTTACATTATTGTTAAGTTTCAGGGAAGGATCCCAGATTAGTGACTCTTTGTTTTTCTGACAGGGTTAGAGCAGAAAGGTCAATGCAGTGGTTTGTGATCGTGTCGTTGGGAGGGAACAACATGACTTCAGACTTATTTCCATTGAAACTTAAGAAGTTTAAAGCCATCCAGTCCCTGATGTCAGCCAGGCAGTTGAGCAGCGGTTGAATAGAGCATGTACCATTGTGTGTTAGGGGGAAGTAAATTTGACAGTCATCGGCATAGAAGTGGAAGGGCATGTTGTGTTTCCGGAAAATAGCACCAAGCGGCAGCAGGTATAAAGAGAATAGGAGGGGACCCAGGATGGACCCCTGCGGAACCCCCCCATTTAAGCTCTGCCTCTGCGGAACTAAAATCCTTGATGGAGACACAAAAGGATCTGTCAGTGAGGCAGGATCTGAACCAATTGAGGGCTGACCCTGTGATGCCCACCCACTGCTCTAACCTAGCAATGAGGATCTCATGGTCAATGGTGTCAAAGGCGGCTGTGAGGTCCAACAGGACAAGCGGCTCAGAATCACCAGTATCTGTGAATCTGAAGATGTCGTTAAAGACCTTCAGCAGGGCAGTTTCAGTGCTGTGGAGAGGTTTAAAGCCAGATTGGAAAAGCTCTAAGATGGTGTGACACTCCAGGAAGCACTTCTATGATTCATTAACAATGAACTAGATTCATGCTGCACATCCAGAATGGATTACTGTCCTTTATTGATAGGAGTTTTACCTCATTTAGCTCTGTGCTTTGCTTGTTTTTGGAATTTTAATTTATTTCTCACTCTGACCCTGATGAGAAGAATCCTTTGCATGTTTTGTCCAATCTGTCTTCATCTTTCCTGTTGGCATTCCTCCTCTCAGCTTTGGCCTCCTAACCATTACTATCATGAAGTGACAACATTTCCTGCAGGCTCCTCTGTGTCCATGGAAGACCTTCAGTCAGTACAGCAAAAAGCTGTTTCCAACTCCACACTAAAATGTACCTAATCACAATCAGCAGCTGCTTCAAAATTATGTCATCAGAACAATTTCATTAAATTAGATCTAAGATTGTAATTGTAACATAATATTTATGACAACTCAACCTACCTCTGTCTCCTCTCTGAAGATCATTCTTGTGAAATTGTGGAACATTTGAACAATTCAGACCAAACAAAGAATCTAACAATTACTTTCTGAAACGTTTGCTCCCTGAAAGCATCTTTGTTTTAGATTTTACCTCCATTACTCCTCTTGTCAACCATATTTTGATTCCATTTTTACATCACATGCAGCATATATTTAATATTCACAGCTTTTACTTAGAGGTTTATGACTGCTTTTATTAAGAAGGAGGTTTGAAACTGTTAGTTAGCAAAAATTGTGTAAACTTGGCATTTTTGAGTGATTGAACAAATGTGTTTAGACAATGAACAATTGTATAGGATATCCTAACTGGGCCTTCCTGAAAGCAGAGAAGAAACCCAAACAGGACTCCAGTCAGCCATCAGGTGAAAAGGAGGAACCCAGACACAGACCAGTGGTCATTCCATATGTTGAAGGAATATCAGAGAAACTGAGACGTTTATTTTCTAAACAAAACGTCCCAGTGGCTTTTAAACCCCAAAATACATTACGGCAAAGACTGGTTCATCCCAAATATCCAGTCCCGGCACAACCAGAGTAATGTTGTGTATGCTGTTCAGTGTCAGGAGGGCTGTGATCATATATATATATGTGATATATATATATACATATATATGTATATATGTATATTATATATGTATATATGTATGTAGTGGTGGGATGTAACTAAGTACAAATACTTCATTACTGTACTTAAGTACATTTTTTGTGTATCTGTACTTTACTTAAGTAGAGTTAAATGTGGGTACTTTATACTTCACTACATTTTATATCAAGTATCTGTACTTTCTACTACACTACATTTCTATAACGCGTTGCATTACAAGTTACATTCATGTTGCGGCTTTTTGATTTTTTTTGTCACTTTGAAAGTAGCCAACTGTGAGAGGGAAGCTGGTCCATTGAATCAATGCAAAGTGGGCAGGTAACGTTAGGCCCACCTTAAAGAAGAACTGGACCAATGACATACATTCTAGTATATATGTCACTGAGCTGGGTGCACCCACAGAACCACTAACACACCCAAAATGTATTCCACCACAAGAGAATCAGACAGAAGTTATGCTCCACCCATGGCCTTATTGAAAGACTGCTGAGTACAGCAGGACAGATTCTCCCAAAAGAACCAGACTGGACTAAAAAAATCTTTGAAAACCAACTACTTCTGAACTTGAACAAGAAATTCTTGCTGCAATATTAAAATGTGTCAGTTCATGACGTTAGGAGACAAGAGATGTCTCCAAATGTCTCGACACTCAGGTCCAAGTTTTAAAAATGGTGTCAGGAAGTTAAAATACTGTTCAATATTGACCCATTAGAAAGGTTGAATAGATGGTATTTTAACTAGAGCTGATGACAAGCAGGAGTTGAAATGATCAGATGTTCCTTTGTTAGGTCTAATGCGCCTTTTTTCAGACAGACAACTTTTACTTAAATGTGTTTACTGCAGTTAAAATGACACATTGGTTTTGATTTGTGTTAAATAAAAACGTTCAAAAGGTGTAATCATTCCTCTTTCTTATTTTGATTAATGGCATTTAACTCTGCAGGTCATCCCTGAAATTCTGACACACAGAATCACAAGTCCAAGTGTGAACGGTGTCACAGAGTAAATACAGTAAAAACATGTATTATCTGCAGCATTGTTCATTAAAATGGAACAACACTATTAATGTATTACAGAAAATATACATAAGGTACACAGATTTAAAGACGTGTTGACCATTACATTAGGTAATACATTCAGCAAGTACTTTTACTTTTAATACTTTAAGTATTTTAAAAGCAAGTACTTATTTACTTTTACTTAAGTAAAAATGTTAATGTGGTACTTCTACTTTTACTAGAGTACATTTTTGTCTGTTTATTTGCACTTTTACTTAAGTACAGTGTTTGAGTACTTTCTCCACCACTCTCTCTCTCTCTCTCTCTCTCTCTCTCTCTCTCTCTCTCTCTCTCTCTATATATATATATATATATATATATATATATATATATATATAT